ATGAGAGCTTTGCCTTTGACTTGACAGGCTTTTGCTTTTCTGTGGGGTGTTCAGGACGAGGCATCCTTGCACCTTGCACCCCATGTTCCCCTTCAAGCCCGCCTTTGCTCATCATCCGTACAGCCCAGGATGGGGCTTTGGCAGGGGGAGCGACGTGTCTCCTTGCTGGGGTCCCCATGCTCTCCTGGCCAGAGGGTCAGCCCTTGGTGGGAGCATCTCCAGGAGGTATTTGGCAGGCATCCACCTCAGCTGCCCATCCCGGCCTTCCCAAAGTGACAGAGGCAGCCCCACTGCTCCCCTCTTTGCTTTGGGGGCTGCCCAGCACCATCCTGCCCAGCCTCACGATGTGCTGGCCGCACTTGCCCCGTGCTTTCCGGCAGTGGCTGGGGGAAGTTAGCCACACGGCTGTGAATAAATAGAGCATAAATAGAGTTGTTAATGTGCCCGGCTGGAGTAGGTAAGGCTGTGAAACCAGGCTGAGCCTTTCCCAGCTGGAGAAATCAGAGAGAAACGATGTTTGATTTCTGCTGACATTTCGGAGTCGGCTTTTTTGGTTTCATCTCTGTTCCCCCCCCCTTCAGAGGGGGCCACGCTTTGCTTTCTCTTCTCTTTAGGAGCAGGAAAACTCCCTCTCTCTTGGTTTTCTCCCAGGGTGCCCAGAAGCGAGCTCTGGCCTCTGTGGGTTTTGTTTTAGGAAGAGCCAAGTGCTTCTTCAAACAACCTCCCAGCACGGTGCCCGTGGGCAGCCGGGAGCTGCTCGCTCCTACAGCCACGCTCTGCCACCACCGCTGAGCTGCCCGGCTGGGCTGGGGGCACCCCCGACCTGGGGAGGGAGATGCCAGAAAAAAAACGAGGAATATAAAGAAGGGCTCGGGGCACAGCCTGCGGCTGGCACTGGGGCTCTTTCCTGTGCCTCTTGGCAGGGTTGAAGCTTCACAGCATGGCAGGCGCCAGGAGCTGTCAGAGCGAGTGCTGGAGGAGAGACTGCTGTGCGGGGCATCCCGGCACGGCACCGGGGACCGGTGGCCCCCCAATGTCGGCACTGAGCCCCGAGCTGGGGCAGGTCCCGCACCCCAACCTGTGGTGGGAGAAAGCTCAATCACCCGGGTGGTCCCGGCCATCCTCACTGGCGAGACGATGGCAAGAAGACGGCGAAGGCTTCTCAGCGCAGCTCTTGTCTGCAGCAGCCCCCAGAACATCAGCGCTCAGGCACAGGGTTGTCCTGACATGACCCCGCAGCACAGCCCTCTGCATCCCCGAACCCACCCGGCTCGGCTTTACAGCAGCTGGCGCCTCTATGCGGCCCCTGTTAATTAATTCGGGAGGGATTTACCAGCCTGGACACATGTGAGAAACAAGAAAACCTTATCTGGAGGGGTGCTGGCACGCGGCCAGCAGCAGGGCAGGCACAGGGGGACTCGCTGCGGGGGGGTAAATGCACGGGAAGAAGCTCAGCCCAATACATGGGCAGGGAGATGTCATGGAGCCCCGCTTGAATTGCATTATTAACACACAGCTAGAAACGGCATCATGGTTAAAATCAGCTACATAAGATGCGGGTCGGATCCTTGCCCTGAGGTCCTCACACCAGGGACGTGCTCGCAGCCCCCATTTATCGCCCCAGTATTTATACCCTGGGCTCTGCATGGCACAGATCATGGCACCAGATGGAGTAGCTCCCGTTTTTTGGACTCAAGTTGTGGGTTTGCACATAGCCACGGAACTGGGGAGGATTCCCCTGATGCGGGAGCTGCAGCCATGGGGAAATCAGTGTGGTCCCGCTGCCTGGTCCCTCCCAGAGTGGGGGAGTCGGTGATTTCCCCAGTTCTCTGGCCAAAATGCTTTGAGTCCTTTCGAAGCTGAGAACTGAAACACCTCATGTTCAAGATGTCAAAAACTTTTGACTCCTGTAGGTTTTTCTTTCTCCCCAGCAGGAGGCGGGAAGTGATGAATGCAGCACGAATTTGCAACATTCAGTAACTTCCATCTGCAAATCCAAAGCCGGGTTCATCTCTGGCACACTGCAGTGTGTCCATCCATCCACTGCTCTCCAGGTGACTGGATGCTGGACAGACAGACGGACAGATCCTGCCAGCCCAAAACACACACGTGAAAGCCTTTTGCAAGGGGCTCACTTGGCTGGGGATACCCTGAAATCCCATCAAGCCCGGGCTGGGCTGGTCTCCACGGCTGTCCCTGCTTGGGGCTTGTTACTTGATGCTTTACCAGGAGGGAAACTGAGGCACGGGCGGGCATGTCCCCTGGGCCCAGCCGTGTCCCTGTGGATGGCATTAAGGCAGCTCAGCACCCGCCTGGCCTTGCTCACTGGCAGATTGCTCAGGCTTGTTAGCAATTGCTAATTCACACAGGGGGCTGAGCAGGCTCCAGCAAGCCCCGCTGGCAGGAGGGCTGCCGGGGTGCCCCATGCCCTGCTTGGTGCGAGATGCCAGTTTAGGTTCCTTCCCCCTATTCCCAAGCAGATGCTTCGTTAGCATCACAGACTAATTTGCCTCTACAGAGGAATGGATAGCTGCTCCAAAATGCTTCCTCTGAGCACCCAGCAGCTGCCTGCACTGCCTCACTGGAGCCCTGGGTAAGAAGGTCCTGAGGCAGGGGAGGCCGTGCCCGCAGTGAGCCTGGCCGTTAACCGGAGGATGCCAAGGCCCAGGATCATCAGCAGGGTGGGAATTCAGCACTTGAACGCTCCAAATGTGAACACGAGCTGGAAGAGGCATGAGGCTGGGAGCAGAGCTTGGAGCTTTTCCTTGAAGAAAAGCCCAGGGAGGGGTGTTCAGTGCAGACACCATGGCTGGATCCTGACGCCAGACATGTGCCTGGCTCCTGCGCTCCCCCAGAGCATAGGCTAGTGGCTGGACTGGCGACAGAAGACCTCAGGAGTGACCGCTTATGGCCACTTTCCTGGGCCTCCCAGGGCCGAGTCGCTGGGGAGGAGCTGTGCTACCCATGCCCTGGTGAGAGACATCCCTGTGCTCCAGGGAAGGGGATGCTTGGGGTCCAGCTGGGCTGTGTATGGGGATGGGAACAGTGGGAAGGTGGTGGGGTCAGGAGGGATGTGGGAATGTCACCAGGCTCGTCCTGCCATGGTCAGGCCAGGCCTTCCTGGAGAGCCAGAAAATCCAGCCCCGGCTCCTTAATGGGGCTCAGATGGGCGACGCTGGGGAGCGGCCAAACCCCAGGCTGCGGCACCGGGTACTGGGGAGGTGAGTGGAGCAGCCTGTGGCTCATCCTTGGATTTTCCCTGTGGCTGGGAACAATTGGGAATGAGAGCGAGTAGTTATATATTTGCCAAAAATTATTTTCGGGATGGGGAGATTGCATGCAGCTAATAAGGTGAGGCTGGGATGGGACAACTGTTGGGAGAGAGGCAATATGATGGGGGTCTTCGTTTGCATTTAGGGGGCAGTGGTCCCCCTTCGGGAGAGGGATGAAGGCTCAGCTCCTCACTCCAAGCAACTTCATGGCAGCTGGGCTCACACCGTTGGACAGGCAGCTGCTGCAGGGAAGGGCTGCGTGGGGAAAGGGTTAAAGTCCCCAGCTCCAGCACAGGAGGGATGAAGGCTTCCCCAAATGCCACTGGCTGAAATGTATCATTATGGTCAGGCAGGGAATTCGCTGTGGGGTTTTGGGGGAGCCGGGCGCAGGGCGGAGCGTGCCGAGCACCCAGAGCCTGCGTTTGCTACCTGCTCTTGCAGGATGAGGGCTCCCCAGCCTCCCACATTGCTCGGCCTTGGTTTGATGACAAGCTGAAAGGATACACAGTGGGTGCTGGGGAGGGGACCAACCCTGAGACCCTGCCCCAAAGCCATGCTGGATGGGTGAGGACCACCCCCATGGTCAGGCCTGGGGATGCAGCATCCCCCTGCCCCGTGCTCTCTTTGGCTCCCTGCTGCAGCCTCACTCCAGAGAAACCAGCCCTGCTTCAAAGCATCTTTCCAAAGAAAATCACTTTTGGCAGCCCTTAGGCAATGGCAGGTCTCTGCTGACCTGCTCCAGCGCTGGCATCTGTTTTGGCCGTCACCATCCTCTCCTGCTGTCACCCTGCTGTGTCCCCGCCAGCAAAAATCTGCCGCCCTGCACAACAGTTAGGGACAGCTCGTAAACCTTTGGCTTTTCCCTTGCAAACTGCCTCACACGGCCATTCCCCTGTGCCCTCTTGTACCCTTCTGTTTTGGCCTGGGATGTTGGAGATTTGGGGTTTGGAGAGATCCCTGCCCCAGCGGTCCCGAGTGGCGAGGCCAGCAGCGCACCTGCAGCATCAGCCGGGGAAGATGGGGTGACTCAGCCATGCTGTGCCGGACGTGGGTGGTAGAGACAGCAGGGCTCTGACCCGTGGGGCTGACCATGGCTGGAAAATCCCAAACGCTGTGCCCAGCACTGCGGGGTGGTACCCCCGCCACGGCCACAGCATCCGCCGTGGGGTGAAGGCCCCCCGGGACGGATACCCTTGCCCCCCAAAGCACCCATGCCGGCGGTCCCAGCCTCCTGCTCTGTGGGGCTCTGTCGGATGGGGACTCAGCGGGGACACAGGCAGGGGCACGCGTGTGGGGCGACAGCTCACAGCAGCAGCAGGACGGGGACAACATGTCCCCCCACCCACGCCAAGAGGCCGCGGCGATGGGCGCGGGCACCAGCCGGCCGGGCTACCCGGGTTCCCCGGGGCGGG